ATTTTAATGCTTCTCATCTTCCCATGGCTGCTAAAAAAATCTCATGCTTTAATGTTATTTCTTCCATGCCAGTAAAGATGGATGTACAGGAAGTCTTCGACTTATAATAGTTCATTTAGTGACTGTTCAAACTTACAACAGCATTAAAAAAGTGACTTATGATAGTTTTTTACGCTTACAAGCATTTTCACATTTACGACCCTACCACGGTCAGATGAAAAGAATTCAGACACTGACTCATATTTATGATGGCTGCAGTCTCCCAGGGTCATATGATCCCCTTTTGTGACCTGACAAAGTCAATGGGGAAGACAGATTCACTTAATAACCATGCTAATAACTTAACCCCTGCAGTGATTCACTTAACAACTGTGGTAAGAAAGGTGGTAAAAATGGGGCAAAACTCACCTTAATAACTGTCTCACTTAGCAATAGAAATTTTGGGCTCAATTATGTCGTAAATCGAGGACTACCTGTATTCCATTTTTAATTCCTTTTTCTGTGGTTTGATGTCAACCCTTGCCAAATCAACAATTTTAGCCACAAAATATTTCTGACAGAGATCCTAGCAGTTCCAAGACATTTTGGAAGATCCCAAAAGACACACATGCCCTAAGAAAATGGTTGCCTGGTGTACTAATGTTGTTTGCTCAGGGACTGGTTAAGCCATGCATAGCATTTGCCAGGTTTAAAAAAATCTTGCAAGCATTACAGTTGTACACTTTTGTTAAATATGGCTACATGCAGTGTACTGGTACCTGAGAATCTATGTTTTTTTTAAAAAATATCTCTTTCGCACAAACTTTTACTTCTATAAGAGCAGACACACACACACTCTCTCTCGTATGCACATGCACACACACAGTATATAAGCACATACCCAAATGTATAATAAGGGAAAAGAAGAATGGTAATGAGATGGTGTATTTGCTAACTTAAGTGGATATAGCTATGTATTTAGATAAATATAGAAATGTCAGGGGACTGTAAAAACATGGTTTAATTTAACGGGGATGGCGGGCAAAGGGAACCCATAAGACCAAAATGATTCTTAAAGAGCAAATGTGATTTTACGCTTATCTAATAATATTTGATGCAGGTATAAAATGGCCAGTGGGTTTTTGTTAAATGGAAATTATGCATGCATAAAACGGAGGTGAGATTGTTGCCTGTTAGACCCAACATCCACTCGACTGAAGTCCGATACATTGAAGGTTAATTGTATCTGCAAGGGGAAAGCCGGAACACTTAAAAAAAAGGAAATTAAAATAAAAAGGGGTCTGCCCAAGCAATGGGAAGAGGGACAGGCAGCGGTGGGTACCATTTTGCAGATGCTGGGTTGAATACCTTCTCCATCCTTTAATCCTGAACGATCTTACTTGATGCTGTTGCACCATTCATTAGCAGGAAGAGAAAGCGCCTTGCTAGATTTTCATGGAAAGAGAAGAGAACAGAGTAACCCTGACACCAGGATGACCATTTGATGAGTGTTGCATGTCATGCCATCACCATTCAGCCACCGATAAGGTCCACCAAATCTCAATGCAATCCATAGCTAGTCCTGACTGAACATTTATAATGGGAGAGCGCTCACATGAAATAGTCACGTGGCCAGACATCTCATTAAAGGTCCTTTTCTGTGCCTGCCTCCTTCCTCCCTTAGGGTGCCATTCATTACATTGACATTCCAGTCACCTATGGAACAGTATAATGGAGTATTTTCAGTCCCGCTAATGAACTGTTGCATCTCAACCGGGAGAGGCAGGAGAAGTCTTTTGCTCACTCGCCATAAAAATAAATGGCACTTTCCAATAGATATGCATTGGTAGCTTTATAACCTCACTGGAGAGGGGGTGGGGGCGGTGAGGGAAATGGCAAGACGGATTGCAGCATTTACATCTCAACATTATTGCGTCTGCTAAGGTCCCTGGTTATTAGAGCTGAATAGCCTTTCTTTGTGGGCGTGTGCGGAAAATACATTTGCTCCGTCCCTGTGATTTCGGGCTGGTGGGAAGCCTTGCAAGTAATAAGAGTGGATTGTTGTGTTAACAAAAGAGATCCCAGGTATTTGCTTTCACCTGAAGATACAGGCAATATGATGTATGTATGTATGTATGTATGTATGTATGTATGTACTGTACATATGTTATATGTAATCTGATATTCTGTGGTGGATGGAAATCCAGAATTGCAGAAGCACGGGGGTCTTTGCCAGGGGGCAAAGTCAGTGGAGCTTGGAATATCTGGTAGGCAGGAAGAGGGTGAAGGTGGACCCTCCCTAGCAGTCCATAGAGTGTGTAATAGAATAACAGAATTGGAAGAGACCTTGGTGGTCTTCTAGACCAAACCCCTGTTCAAACAAGAGACCCTATACCAGTGATGGCGAACCTTTTAGAGACTGAGTGCCCAAACTGCAACCCCAAAACCCACTTATGTATCATTGGGTGCCGGGTGGGCATGGCCCATTAGGTGGGCATGGCCCATTGGGTGGGCATGGCTTCAGTGGTAACGGCAGACTGGGTGGGACTAAAAAGTTCAATCAATCAATTCCAACTTTGTGAGATTTTTTTTTCCAGCAAGAAGTTGAAATTGATTGATTGATTGATTGACACCCCCCCCCTTTTTTTTGCATACGATGGCAGAGGCCTAAAGAGAAAAGATTTTATAAAACCCAGCTGAAGGCCTAGGACTGGGGCGACGGTGCGTGTGCCCACAGAGACCACCACGGCCCTATACCATTTCAGACAAATGGTTGTCCAATCTCTTTTTAAAAAACTTCCAGCGATGGAGCACCCACTTCTAAAGGCGAGCCGTTCCACTGATTAATTGTTCTGTAAGGAAGCTTCTCCCTATTACTAGACTGGTGCTCTCCTTGATTAGTTTCCACCCACTGTTTCTCGTTCTGCCTTTAGGTACTTTGGAGAATAGGTTGACCCCCTCTTCTTTGTGACAACCCCTGAGATATCTAATAGTTACGCAGATAGCTCCTTTAGTCTGGCAAGATGTCTGTCTATAGGTAAACAACAATAAAGAAACTCCTCAGAAGTAACTCCACATGTATTCTTGGTGCGTGATATTTAAGTTTCCAAACTCAATCAACTATCTGTAGAACTATTATCGACACACCAATGATTCCAAGCCCTGCTGTCTCTTTGTCCATTGGGAAAGAGCCCCTCCCTACTGCAAGTCTAGACTGCATTCCACCACATAATCTACCGTATTTTCCGGTGTATAAGACGACTTTCTAAAGCCTGAAAATCTTCTCAAAAGTCAGGAGTCGTCTTATACGCAGGAATATACTGGTAGCTATTCTCTGAATTTAAAACCAATCTGCCCCCTAGTGGCCAGCCCTATTTTTTTTACAGAAATAAGCACTAACAGGACAAAGCTTTCTAGCAGCAAAGGAGCTCCTATTGTGCTCATCTATAAACAGAAATTCAATATTGTACTGTATTTTCTGCCGTATAAGATGACTTTCTAAAGCCTGAAAATCTTCTCAAAAGTTGGGGGTCGTCTTATACGCCCAGTCGTCTTATACGCCGGAATATACGGTACCTCTGAGTATTGTTGAAAACCGACAGCATGTTTTTTCCCCCCAGCATTTGGAACACCACAAAGCCTGTAAAGTGAAGACGGAAATGGAAAAGCACTATTGGAAGAGCCCAATCCCTCTTTCTCCATCCAGAATAAGCAGAAAAACCCCACCAAAGGTCCATCAACATGTGATACTTTGTCGATGAATTAAGGGGATTTTTTTTCCAACAAGGCACTTTATTGTCTTGAGGTACCTGGAGCCAATAGATCACAAGCTCCTGCATTTGTGTTTAAGGGAAGCTCAATTTGCTTCTTTCCTAGAGGACTTGGGGGTATTTTTACCTCCTTTTGACATTGACCAAAGGGTTTGGCCACATTTCTATCAAAGATGGTGAGCAATTTTGCATTCCATCTGCAACTTTTTATTATAGCAATAGAAAAGTGGGGGGGGGGGAGTGGGAGTTGCTTTGTTTGCCAGAGCAAGAGATGCACCCATATACAGTATGCATTTTCTTGAGATGGGTGAAGGAACAGTTGTATCTTTTCTCATTGCCAGTATTTTCCATTAATGTTATCTCAATGCTCCACTGTAATTGTGTAACTTCTATTTACTTTTTAAAAGGTAGTCTTCTTCCTGTGCTTTCCCAACCTTGGTAACGTTAAGGAGCGTGGACTTCAACTCCCAGAATTCCCAAGTCAGCCTTAAAGCTTAGGAAACCTTGGTTTAGGCCAGGGGTAGGCAACCTTGGCTCTTTTATGACTCGTGGACTTCAACTCCCAGAATTCCTGAGCCAGGAATTCTGGGAGTTAAAGTCCACGAGTCATAAAAGAGCCAACGTTGCCTGCCCCTGGTTTAGGCCAATGCAACTACGTCCACCATCTTTTGGGGAGCTGAAAGCATGGCATGTTGTCTTCTTTTAACAGAAAACCAAGAAAGCTAAAGTGCAAGTTTTATAAATTCTATCTAAGTTGTGAGCTCTGCTCAAAACAAGGTCCAGCAGATTCAATGGCCAGATAACTGCTGAAGACATAATGCAGCCAGCTGCTAAAAACTCCTGTTGCTTTTCACCATACCTGTGGCTATTAGCGCTGGGTCTGTTCAGTTGAAGGAAGCATATTGCAATTGCCTAGCAACTGCATAAAACTCTCCCGGACCATTTTGGGGGATGGGGGTCATCTTGGACTGATTCCAATTACAGGTAGTCCTCGACTTACAACAGTTTATTTAGTGTCTGTTCAGAGTTACATAAACGCACTCAAAAAAGTGACCTATGACCATTTTTTACAGTTACAGCGTCCCCATGATCATGTGATCAAAATTCAGATGCATGGCAGCTGGTTTATACTTATGACCATTGCTGAGTCCCAGGGTCATGTGATCATCTTTTGCAACCTTCTGCCAAGCAAAGTCAATGGGGAAGACAGATTCACTTAACAATCAGGTTACTAACTTTATCAGCTGCAGTGATTCACTTAACAACTGTGGCAAGAAACTTTGTAAGGTGGGGCAAAACTCACTTAACGAATGTCTCACTTAACAACAGAAATTTTGGGCTCAATTGTGGTTGTAAGTCGAGGACTATCTGTACATTCTGGCATTCTTAAATTACAAGTGATATCCAGCCCAATATTCAGTGCACTTCAGAAACACCTGAAACAGCTGAAATCTAATATCCTGAAATAAGCTAGCTGTCAAATGTCACGATGTGTGGTGTTTGGATCTAGAAAGAGAAAAGGGGCAGAGGGCACCCAGATACCTGTCTAAGGTGCCCAGTTAGGTCCAGCCCTACTCATCGGTACCCCAACATCTAGTGCAAATAGCAATTTACAATTGCATGACACAGCCCTGTTAGATATTATCTGACATGCACAAATTGTTTTGGAATCCCGTGAGAACTCTGTTTAACGGGGTTCACAGGGTCAGCTTTCAGAATAAGAATTCGGCTAATATAATTTAAATCCCTAGGTATCTGCCAGTTTAATACATTTATGGAGAAAACACAGCTATCTAACATGCACATATACTGAAGATCACATCTGTGGAAAATGAACCTTGAGTTACCAATTTTCTCCACTGATGCTCTGGGTCCAGGGCAGCAGATCCAGTGGACCAGAAGAAGTCTTTAAGAAAACTTGCCCTTTATCCCTGGTTTATGTGCTCTTGAGTCTCTGTAGCATGGTAAGGCAACCTTCCTTTCTTTGTACCTACGGGTGTTGTTTAGAACATGCAAGCAAGGTTGTTTCTGGAAGTGTTGTTAACTTATCAAGATAGCTGTTCTTCTCTTCATTCCACCATGAACATCCAAGCCCCATCAGGTGGTATTTACAAAATGTTGTGCTTGTGAACATTTCTTTTTCTGAAGATCTGGTGGGATCTGCAGAACCTTCACACTGGAAAGAAGTCCAACTCATTTCTGTTGGTGTTGGGTGTTCCAGGTACAAATGTAATGAGTTTTTTTCTCTTATTGTAGAGGATTATATGATTCATTTGGAAGAGGTGAGCGAGAAGGACTGAGAGTAATTGTAGTTAAGACTCGATGTTGAACGCTTTCAGTAGCACATCCAGGTCACCCACGTTAGCAGCCTGAAAGAGTTCCGGCTGGTCCATCATAGACAACGCAATCCGGAGAGCAGCCCAAATATTACCTGAAATTACCGGATGAGACACCTGCTGCTGATTCCGACTCTTTCGTTGCAGATTGAGAGCAGTGAGGAAGTTGCTCACTGCCTCTCTGCAAATTAGAAAAAAAAAACATGTACAAAAAGTTAGAGTGCAGTACTGCAGGCCACTTTAGCTGACTGTGTTCAGCAGGTCAGCGGTTCAAATCTCACCGGCTCAAGGTTGACTCAGCCTTCCATCCTTCCGGGGTAGGTAAAATGAGGACCCAGATTGTTGGGGGCAATGTAAATATAGATATACATTGCTTATTGGTGTACACCGCTTAGAGAGTGCTTGCACTTAAAGCGGTATATAAGTCTCATAAATAAATAAATAAATAAATCCACAATTTCCACCATATCTAACAACCAAAATTCATAATGGACATACTTACCTATATGCGCCTAGGTTGATGCAGCTGATTCCTAAATTGTATCTGGATCTGATAAAGCCAGGCTGAATTTCTAATGCTCGGGTGTAGGCTTCTACCGCTTCTTCACTTCGATCGCCATTTGCCAAGGTTGCACCTAGACGGTTCCACAACGCATAATCCTGACAAGACAACAACAATTTGGATATAATATTGGTGCAGACATTTTTCTTTTTTTTCTTTTTTTGCTCGTTCTATTCAAATGAAGGTATCTGAGTGAATATCTGGGGAGAAGTTGTCAATTCTCCTACACTGGAGGTTTTTAAGAAGAGACGGGACAACCATTGGTCTAGGGTTTCCTGCCTGAGCAGTGGGTTGGACTAGAAGACCTCTGAGATCCCTTCCCAACCCTGTTATTCTATGATTCTGTAAGGGTCTCCTGCCTGAGCAGGGGGTTGGACTAGAAGACATCCAAGGTTCCTTCCAACACTGTTATTCTAAGGCAGTGGTTCTCAACCTGTGGGTCAGGACCCCATTTGGGGTCGAACGACTATTTCACGGGGGTCGCCGAACAACGCAGTCCGCCATTTTTTCCCCTTTTCCCTAGCTGTGTTACTCCCTTTTATTCTATTGGCTTTTGAAAGCCAATAGAATAGACTCTCTTGAATAGAATCTAATTCTATTGGCTTTCAAAAGCCAATAGGAATTGTCCAGGCTGTCTCTGCCCTGCTGAGCCTGCCAAAAGTCCCATTCTGCAAACGGTGCTGCACCAGTTGAGTAGTCCTCGACTTACGACCGGCTGAGTAGTCCTCGACTTACGACCGGTTGGGGGTCGCGGCATTAAAAAGGTTGAGAACCACTGTTCTAAGGTATGATATGGATAATAGTAAATGTCTTTTCCTTTCACTAGTATGGCATGTAACTCAAGATAATTTTCTGAGATTAATTCCTAATTTTTTGTTAAGCAAGCCAGGCTTGGGAGACTATTTAAACTATTTGAAAAAGGGGCTTGCAATTAATGATTCACTTTAGACACATTCATGGCTAAAACGAACACTAATTAATAGTTTAAAGGACATTGGACAACAGAGAGAAGTATAAATTTTAATGCTAAAGTGCCAAACTTACCTCTGGGCGCACAGTGAGGGCAGCATTGAATGCATCTATTGCTCTGTTAAATTCCCCATTCAGATGAAAGAGCACTCCAAGTCCCGTCTGCAAGTCTGGGTCAATCAATTCACCATTATGATGAGCTCCTTCAAGAAACAACTCCTTCACTTCTTCCAGCAGTGAACTAGAAATAATATAGTGCAGAGATAAATGTAGAGTAACATAAGAGCAATGAATACTATGGCCCAGGCCTCAGACTAGATGGTAGAATTCATTTGCTCCCATGTCTCCCTCCCTTCTTCACGGAAAACATTGATTTAAATGCACGTTGAGCTGGGCGATGTTCCAGTGTCCCAAATTTTGCTTGTACCTCAGTTAATCTGGGATGATTGTTACCTTTCATCAGCTGTCTTTGACATCCTCCTGGCCAATGTCGGAGAACCTTTCTTGCTTCGGAAGAGGAATCTGTACGTGGGATTCTGTTTGATCCAGCTTCTTAAGACTTCACAGGCCTCTTGCTGGTGGCCAGTGTTTGTGAAGCTCACGGCTAAGGCCATGAGGGCTTTCAAGTTGTTTGGCTGAAGCTCTAAGCACCTGAGCAGAGGAAAAGGAAAGTTGGTTAGGCAGATTGTTCTCAGTGGGTTAAAGGCATGGAGTTACTGTCACCAGGGCGACAACTGATGTACCAGATGAAACTGGATGGACAGAGACTCTACTTCCTTGCGGAAGAATAGGGTAGAATGACGACTCATGACCTTCTTCTAGCGTTCTACTATTGAAAACGTCCTCACACACTTTTGTGGTTTGGTATGCTGGCTTGTCAGCCGTGGACAGGAAAGTATTACAGAGGGTGGTGAGCACAGCACAAAACATTGTGGGCTTTTCCCTGACACCACTGGATGACATCGCCAGGGCCCGTTGCCTTGGCAGAGTGAGGAAAATTCTCAGGGATGACTCACACCCTGGTTGGTACCTCTTTACTCTCCTACCATCGGGTAGAACAGGGGTTCTCAACCTTGGCAACTTTAAGACTTGTGGACTTCAACTCCCAGAATTCCTCAGCCAGCAAAACAAAGCTGGCTGAGGAATTCTGGGAGTTGAAGTCCACAAGTCTTAAAGTTGCCAAGGTTGAGAACCCCTGGGGTAGAAGATATAGAAACAGCGAGCCGTACCAACAGGCTGAAGAACAACTTCTATCCATGGGCTGTCAGGCTCTTGAATGGGACATAATTTTATGCATGATAGACTCATGAGGCCGACATGCTGTGCAATTAGCTCACAGGGTGTAATCAGTTGGTGGGGTTGTAGTCACTGTGAATTGTGAGGGGGGGGCACGGAGGGAGGCTCAGCCAATCTCACTGTATACATGTTATACTTTGATAATAAAGATTCATTCATTCAGTCATTCATTCATTCATTCATTCATTCCCAAGGCCATTGCCTGTATCTATTGATAAGTAATAGCTATGAGTCAAAACATCAAAGTTAGGGGGGGCTGCTTTTTCAGGCAGTTGGTTTATTGTGTACCATTGTGACAGTGTTGATTCTTAGTAGTCACACAGATGATTTTAAATCTGGTGTTTCAGGTCTTCCATAGGATATACTCATCACTGATCAAGAGCATCCACCTTGTTGCCATTTGTGCTCTTCATCTTTTTCCTTCCACCTGTTCCAGCACTGTGGATTTCTCAGGGGATAAAGCCATCCTTTTAAGTCAGAGCTTGGAATTTATAGCAGGCACCTCCATCCTGCTGCGATTCAATGATGATTTTTCTTCCCCCCCCCAGAAAATACAAAAGGATCCCCACCACATCTCTAGAAGATGAAAAAGTGTCATCAGCATCCTGACACCTGATCCTCAACAAGTCGATAACCTCTCCTAGCAGTTTCTTGTAATTGCTAAGATGCAAGTGGAGCAGAAAGAGTACCAAGTGGTTTGGCATCTCACACTGGAGCAATTTGACTAGTGCCCACTGATGCCCATATCACCAATTGAAATGGCCTGCCCAGCAATGGAACCACTGTATTGTACAACGGGACACGCCGTCGTGTCCTACCATTCTGTTGAGGTGTGGGGGGGGAGGAAGGCTTCTTGGCATTTGGCTTCTTGGCATTTTTTGTATGCTTTCACTTTTGCTGTAACTGCTTGGGAATTAGGGAGGGGGATTGTCTTCGGAGATGGAGTAGACTCCTTCCCAGCCAGTTCCAGCCTGGTTTCAAGGCCATCATGCCCTGAGAGTGACATGTTATCTGCCCTGCACTTCAGTATTCTCAAAATGACCTTGCGGCATAACACTGGCTGCCGGTGTTTGGGGAAACAAAGGAATCACTTTGTGCTTTGCGCGGGACCTTCAGATTCCACCTGACTTTACTGCAACCACTTTCCCTTAGTAAAATTTCTTTTGATTCAACTCAATGGAGTTAAGAGTTTTGCTTTCCTGAGGGACCAGCTGGGGCAGGTACTTACAGGCCACCTACTCCCAACCCAGTAGATTGTACGGAACCATGTGTAAGATGTCAACGCTGCAAATACTGTATATTCTCGCTCTGACAATATGCAGAACTGTCTGGTATTTTTAGAGTTAATGCAGAGCATAAGAGAGAGGAAGGAAACCTTTGACCTTCACACTAATTGGATGAGGTGATATATGACAGCTAATTTAGGGAGGGAACATGCTGATAATTTAACTGCCCAGAGGAAGAGAACTTAGATCTTAGCATAGACTTCATTATGCCTGTGCCATAAAAGACTTTTAGGGAAATCAATGCCTGGAAGTTCTTTGAAGTGTTTCACTAGCCAGAACCATAACATAAGACTAGGCTGAAGGAGGCATGTAAGCAGAGTGGACAAAAAATAATCTGGGATAAGTTTATGTTGCTAGGGAGGCCCTAAGATCCTGAGTTAACTCAGTTGCCCTTTGCAGGGCATGGCGGCTGAAGTGTCTCGCTGTCAAAACCAGGGAGCTTTCCTATTACAGGTAGTCCTCGACTGACGACTACATTGAGCCCCAACATTTTTGTTGCTAAGTCAGGTAATTGTTAAGTGAGTTTTGGCCCATTTTGCGACCTTTTTTGCCACAATTGTTAAGTGAATCACAGCCGTTCTTAAGTTAGTAACATGGTCGTAAAGTGAATTTGGCTTCCCCATTCACTCCGTTTGTTAGAAGTTCACAAGAGGCAATTACATGACCCTAGGATACTGCAACCGTCATAAATATGAGTCAGTTGCCAAGCATCCAAATTTTGATCAAGTGACTATGGGGATGTTGCAACAGCTGAGGGAAAAACGGTCATAACTCATTTTTTTTCAGTGCTATTGAAATTTTAAATGGTCACTAAATGAACGGATGTAAGTCGAGGACTACCTGCATATCCAGTTCTGGGCTGGATGGATCATCATCAATATGATATCCTATGAAACTGAAAGGCAAAATCAAAAATATTGATAATTTATGGAAAATATCCCTTGTATTGCCATAGATGCTTCTTCAACCAAGGTGGAAATTGTTCTTAACAACGTCAAATCTGAATCCATCTCCAGCAATCCAAACTAAGAATAACAGAATAGCAGAGTTGGAAGGGACCTTGGGGGTAATCTAGTCCAACCCCCTGCTCAAGCAAAAGACCCTCTATCATTTCAGACAAATAGTTATCCAATCTTTTCTTGAAAAGCTCCAGTGTTGGAGCGCCTACAACTTCTGAAGGCAAGTCATTCCACTGGTTAATTATTCTGTCAGGAAATTCCTCCTTAGTTCTAGGTTGGTTCTCTCTTTTATAAGCTTCCATCTGTTGCTTCTTGTTCTGACTTCAGGTGCTTTGGAGAATAGCTTGACTCCCTCTTCTTTGTGGCAACCCCTTAGATATTGGAACACCGCTATCATGTCACCCCTAGTCCTTCTCTTTGTTAAACTAGACATACCCAATTCTAGCAACTGGTCTTCATATGTTTTAGCCTCCAGTCTCCGAAAGATATGTCCATGATTTATGGAAATATTCTCTTTCCCTCTGAAAGCAATAAGACAACCATTTGGATCACTTACCTTTGGAGGGCAACTATGGCTCCCTGTTCATTTTCATTTTCTGCTTGGGTTATTCCAAGAAACTGCCAGGCCTGCAAAATGGGGAGTTTAAGGATTATTCCATGCCTAATAAACCAGCATAATAAACTCTGGGATATTCTCTTGTTATGAATGCCATGTAGGTCTTTATTTTAAAAAGCAAGGCTTCAAAATATCTGCTTTAGTTTGGCAAGATTGATGTCAGACTCAAAAATCAAGAAAGACACATTGGGTTTCTAAGAGTTTCCTTTATTGTTACTGACCCACAGACAGAAATCTTGCTAAACTAAAGCAGACTACTTGCACCATTAAACATATAAACTGGGAACTCTTAGGGAGGACCCTCCTTCACTCTCTTTCTCCCACACACCATCTAAACCTCTCTGTCTCTTCCTCCTCTCACATGCAGCCCTTCCTTCCTGGGAATCCAGACTACATTCCACCACATCATCTTCTCCATTCTAAATCCTGAATGTTGGCTACAGAACCAAATCAGGAAGACATCCAACTGGACTCAAGGATTTGGTGCCCAAGGGAATATAAAATAGTGTTATTGCATTCAAATTACAGTATATATAAGTGAGAAAGCACCAAGGCTATGAAATATATTTGGGCTTTTTCTCCAAAGTGGAGAAAGCCAAAAAGGGAGGAATGGTTGAATATTCTGATATAAATATCTCTCTTTCAAGGTTGTTCTCATTGATTAAGTTGACAGCACGTCTATAGGTAGGATAGAGGATGACAAGAAAAGCTGTTTCAAACAATGAGCAAGGAATCAAATAATACTCTAATCAAGGCATTAATAAGGAAGAAAACTATACTTCCACCAAAACTGGAGGGGCAAGCTAATGTATATAAACAGAGAGCAAGCCCCATACTCACTCACACTGATGATGTTACCTAGTTGGGTAATTAAAGGTTTGCAAGCAAACAGCCAAGATCAGAGAGCACCAAGAAATCCAAAGCTGTTTCTTCACAACTGACAAAGACTCTGAAGGGAATTTTGACTCGTTTCATATATTCATCAGGGTAGATACCTCAGCATCATGTGGGTCTTGGAGAATAGCTGCCTCCAAGTATAGGATGGTGAGGGGCAAGTCTCCTTCTCTCAATTTTTTTAGTCCCTCCTCAAAAGCACCAGGCCAATCTTTGAAGGGATTTTCAGTGTGAAAGTAATAACCCTAAAAAAGAAAATTAAAGTGTTGGCAGTTAGATACGGAATCTTACATAGAAAACTATCACACAATCTTATGGAGATCTATTCACAAGAAAGTCTCAGTGAGCCTGGGAATAAAATTTGACTACGTTAAAATTAAATCATTTATTGCCTTTAATTTATTCATGAAGGTGTTTTTGGCAAGTGTCTGAACAGCCTATACCAGTGGTGGCAAACCTATGGCACGTGTGCCAGAGGCGGCACTCAGAGCCCTCTCTGTGGGCACATGCGCCGTTGCCCCAGCAGAGTTTATTTATTTATTTATTTATGAGACTTATATACCGCTTTAAGTGCAAGCACTCTCTAAGCGGGGTACACCAGTAAGCAATGTATATCTATATTTACATTGCCCCCAACAATCTGGGTCCTCATTTTACCTACCCCGGAAGGATGGAAGGCTGAGTCAACCTTGAGCCGGTGAGATTTGAACCGCTGACCTGCTGAACAGAGTCAGCTAAAGTGACCTGCAGTACTGCACTCTAACTGCTGCGCCACCTCAGCTCATAGAGTAGCGAGCATGTGGCGTTTAGAAGCGACAGGGCAGGAAGTGAGCGAGCAAGCGGCGTTGGCTCCCCGGGGATGCCCCGGAGATGGCGAGGGACTGGTCCCGGCCACACTCACCCAGTCTGCCGTGACCACTGCACCACACCCATCCAGTGCCCCCCCCCAGGGCACCACAATGCTGATGCTGATGCAGCCCTGGCACTTTGCGATAAATAAGCGGGTTTGGGGTTTCGGTTTGGGCACTCGGTCTCTAAAAGGTTTGCCATCACTGGCCTACACATTATTATATGCAGTGGCTTATTTTCAGCAATGGGACTGGAGAATCTGCATGACCAACGTGATTTTTTTTCTCTTCTGAAAATGTTTTATGTATCAAATAAGCTACAGTACAAACAAGATAACTGTAACTGGAATTGCACACAATGCATCTCCTCCTTTCTTTTTCTGCTTCCTCAACTTACAATCTTTTGCATGTTAAAAAGGGGCTTATACTTGTGTCAGAAGCACTGAGGCGCTTCCGGGTTGAAAGGATTAGTCAATGACATAACTGAGCTGGGGGCTCAGTTTCATGTATCTAGCAGGAGTTGGAACAAAGGACAGGAGTTCAACCCCACTCCACGGCAGCACCTGGGTCTTGAACAGGGGCTAGCTAACTTCCATCCCAGCATCCTAACCATACAAGCTACCATGTTCCTTAGAAAGAGGTTCATTGAAATTGATCCATGATAGGAGGTAATCTTCTAGGGGCACAGGGTAGGTGCCTTGAAGAGAAGGCCCATTTCCTGGGTCTCAAGAGGTGACCATTTTTAATTCAAAGCAAGCCAACTGCATCAGTTCATTGAAACTACTGGGGCTAGATGAGCGTTTAGATAACCAGATCCTATGTGATAATGTGCAAGTTTGCCTTTTACCGATCTGGGATCAGCATAAAGATGTTCTTCTCTGTTCTTCTACAATCCCAGGTTACCTTCTCATTAATGGAGACGGCCACTTGTCCTTTTGTTTCTTGGCTTTCTGAAATCCACTTTCTGCGAGCCATTTCTTCCCACTCTGCCTGCATCTTGTCCCAAAACTCTGTGTCTGACTAGGGAGAAGAGAACCAAACAATGATAAAACATGGAAGAAATAGAATGGAAGAAACAATTCCTTCAGATTAAGGGCATCTCCAAGTTATTTTTTTACTTTCAAAATTGAAAATCCAGAACCTCAAACATCTTTAAATGCAGTCATTCTTTGGAGGGGACAAACAAAGGTGTAAGTGGCACCATTTGTGCGATGCCAGTGTGATACATGTGACAATATTTTGACATCTACTAAAGGTCTAGATCTTAAGATGAAACTTTCCAGTGGAGAAGATGTAAGTTTTAGATTGTATTCATAACTGAATTATTTCCAACTTGGCACAATATAACTGACCCACAAGTTCATAGTAACAAAGCCACAAATAAGCACAAGTTAAATTAAAGAATCAACACACACTGCAAATGCAAACTACACACTCTGAGATTTTTACTTGGCTCAGGTAAACTTGCTGAATGGACAAAATGGAAATTTTGAAGTTCTAATCCCAATACACCTGTAAAGGTGCCAGGCTGGGGAAGATTAACTTAGATGATCACTGTACACACTCATCCCAGTTTGCAAGTTTGAGATACAGGTAGTCCTCACTTACAATAATTTAATGACCATTACAACAGCACTAAATGCCTTGGTAAAGCCACACTTGGAATACTGCATCCAGTTTTGGTCACCACGATGTAAAAAAGATGTTAAGACTCTAGAAAGAGTACAGAGAAGAGCAACAAAGATGATCAGGGGTCTGAGGCTAAAACATATAAGGAATGGTTGCTGGAATTGGGTATGTCTAGTTTAATGAAGAAAAGGACGAGGGGGGACATGATAGCAGTGTTCCAATATCTCAAGGGCTGCCACAAAGAAGAGGGAGTCAAGCTATTTTCCAAAGCGCCTGAAGGCAGGACAAGAAGCAACGGGTGGAAACTAACCAAACAGAGAAGCAACCTAGAACTAAGAAGAAACTTCCTGACAGTTAAAACAATTAACCAGTGGAACAACCTGCCTCCAGAAGCTGTGAATGCTCCAATACTGGAAGTTCTTAAGAAGAGACTGGACAGCCATTTGTCCAAAATGGTATAGGGTTTCCTGCCTGAGCAGGGGGTTGGACTAGATGACCTCCAAGGTCCCTTCCAACTTTATTATTATTATGGATCATCGCACAGTCAGCCAGATGTTCAGACTGAAAGGAAAGGAAAGGAAAGGAAAACCTGTGTGTATAAATGACAGCATTTGTTAGAGTATTTCCATAATAACTGGAGAAAAAAGGAATATTATTGTTGAGGAAAATAGAAAGATACCCTTAATGATGGCAAATGGCAAGGAATAAATGTATGTGTTTGTTCATTCATATACCCAGTTACAGTTACTTATTTATATTTATATCATTTATATCATTTAAATGATTTATATCATTTACTTATCACATTTACAAACTGCCCCTCTCCTTCCCAGAGTGGCTGTAGGCAGTATACAAATAAGACATAAAAACATAAAAGCTATATATAAATATTATAATAGGAGGCAATTAAAACAAGATTAGAATAATTAACATCTGATCCTCCTCAAAAAAAGTTCCATTCTACAAATCACCCCCCACTCCAGCCAGCCCCCTGCCATTCCCTCTCACCCATGGGTGTGACATGGCCCCACACAATTTGCAATCCAATATCTTGCCAAATTGTTACATGCAATCATCGCTCCTGAATTAACAAATATATATATATATATTGGAAGTGTCTTGGTGACGTTTGGTCACATGACTACGGGTGGGGCATCAGAACTTCAAATCCAGGGCATAAGTTTTGGTTTGGGGGGATTTTGTCAAGCACTTGGGAAATCAGGAGATTTAGGCAGTTTCAAATGAGTATAAATATTGATAGCATAGCTTAAGCTCTCTACAAGAATCTGACCAACTAACAGTCAAGGGGAATGAGCAGAAGATAAGAGAGGCACTCAAGGTGAGATGTACTTGTGACTTATGATGCATTTGACCCCTCCCTCAGGCTCAACCTGGTCATGCCTTCAGATGTTGTGGTGCTTCATCACTGGAGGTTTTTAAGAAGAGACTGGACAGTCACTTGTCTGAAATAGTATAGGATCTCCTGCTTGAGCAGGGGGCTGGACTAGAAGACTTCCAAGGTCCCTTCCAGCTCTATTTTGATTCTGATTCTGATCTATTTCTGTCATAACTTCAAACAGTTGTTAAGTGGCTGGTTGTAAGTTGAAACCATCTATATTTCCTTAAATTGTGATATTGGTCTTTATGGAAGGAAGGAAGGAAGGAAGGAAGGAAGGAAGGAAGGAAGGAAGGAAGGAAGGAAGGAAGGAAGGAAGGAAGGAAGGAAGGAAAATGCTGAGTTTCTCACCCCTTCTCCCAATGATCTATGTGGATGATGTTGTAGGAGAGTGGTGTGGAGGGTTATGTGTTGACTTGGTTAATTGTGAGACCATCACAAGTTCTGGAAATCCAAACTGTACTTGCTTATTAAGGACATGGTACCCAGCTCAGTTCAGTATCTGCAAGACTTCAGATGGAAGCACAAGAGGCACAATTTGTAATTATGAGAGAAGAGGAAAACCAGGTGTTTGGGGAGATATTTAGCACCGCTCCAGCCTCACATATTTACATTGCTTTAATTCAGTTTACTGTTTGCAAACCTGCACAGGTTTCAACTATTTTAGTGCCACGCATTTAATGGAGATGTTTTCTTAAAAGGCAATCCCTTCTAGCTGATAGGAGGGAAACAGAGATGGGATATTTTCCTCCCGGTTTTCTCCTTGGCAAACTGCCCCCAAAATAATTAATTTCCAATTTTATCAACAAACACACCCTGAGATTAGGTTCAGTCCCTTCCTCTCGGTTTACAAAGGACTCCACAAATGTCTTGTCTTGTTTCATATCAAATAGAAAGAGTAATATGAGAATGGTCTGGCAAAGGTTTCACTCTGCGGAAGTGAAAATTGGATTTTGAAGAAGCCAACTAGAACATGTACTGATGCTTTTGAACTTTGCTATTAGAAAAAAAAACTCCTGAGAATAGCATTAACAGCCAAGGAAACAAACACATCGATCACAAAACAAATCAATCCAGAATTCTTATTTGAGCCACAAACGAACAGGCTCCAATTGTAAGGTTTTGGATACATTTCTATAATACTAAGACAGGTGACCTAGTAGGAAGGAATAAATAATAATAAGGTCACATAGATTTGTTTAGCTAATGGATTATTAATAATCACACCGTGTTGTAATTTCCATTGTGTCTGCCTTTTTGGGTGTCTTGTCTTTGCAATGTAATTTAAACTCTGGTTTTGCTTTGGCACAGGGGCACTGGGCTTTGTTTGGTACCCAGCACATTCTATATTTATGTTAATAAAGTCCTAGAGGAGATCAACCCTGACTGCTCTTTAGAAGGCCAGATCCTGAAGTTGAAACTCAAGTACTTTGGCCACCTAATGAGAAGGAAGGACTCACTGGAGAAGAGCCTAATGCTGGGAAAGATTGAGGGCAATAGAAGAAGGGGACGACAGAGAATGAGGTGGCTGGATGGAGTCACTGAAGCAGTAGGCCTGAGCTTAAATGGATTCCAGAAGATAGTAGAGGACAGGAAGGCCTGGAGGAACGTTGTTCATGGGGTTGCGATGGGTCGGACATGACTTTGCAACTAACAACAACAACAACAACAAAAGTTATGTTATATCTTCACAGTGATTTGGTTGCTTTATACGAGTCAGATTTGGGCCACAGCCATATATTTTAACATCCTTCATAACTTGTTGATGTATGAAATATTCGATGCACATAGAATACTAGCAGGGCAGAGACAAAGATTAGTAGATTCTTTCTTCCACAGTCTATCTTGCTAAAGGAAAAATATCTCTGGCTGTCTTGCTAGTAGCCAACATCTGGCTCTTTCGGACAGTGGGGAAGATTGAGATGCTTTTGAAGCAGTAGCATCCGGGGATCGCATTACAATTTTATTGATGTGCTCTTTGTGGTTTGGGATTTGATTTAATTGCATTTGAGCCTTAATACTGTAATGAAGAGTGTAAGCTGCTTAAAGTCATCATCTGGTTGAACCAGCATATCTTAGTTAAAAAAATTTTTTTTTTAAAAAAAATCAATCATTTACTTTTTATGTATTTACTTACATTCTTATATGGGTCATATTTCTGCAACTATCAACCCTTCTAGTAGGCATTTAATTGCTGCGTTTCAATGTTAACCAAAGTTTTGCTTACATTGCATTACACTTTTATGAATCTCCCCATTTCTTATTTTTTTTAAAAAAAGAATATTTATCAGGTACAAAAGATCAGGTCCACATATGAGGGTCTAATTAAGTTGATTTCTTCCTAATCATACTTATGCACAGGAATCTTCTCAACTAACAATTAGCACCTGCTTGGATTTAGAGAAAGGTCAACGGAATTCATGGGAGGTTGGGCTTATTTCACTTGTGGCTATGTAGAGATTCTATGCTGATTCCTCTTTTATCTCTGCCCCCTGGTTCTGCCACTCCTTCTCCTACAATATTACAGGATTTCAATTGCAAAAGAGAAAAAAAGAGAAAACAATATATAAAAACAAATGAAAATGATAATATCCAACAGTTATAAAGTTGTAGCACCAGAAGAAAGAAAAAGAAAATTAAAAATAGTAAAATATGAAACAAAGAAAAAAAAGACACATTTATACTAGATTAGTATAAATCGTCTAATACATCACACATTCATTTAATCATTTAAACCAGCGGTCCACAACTTTTCTGGCTCCATGGACCAGTGGCTTCAGAAACAGTGGCCATGGGAAAGGGGGGCAATGGTTTTGTATGTGCAACCTAGATCCTGCGCATGTCCAAATGAAATTTTGCCCGCTCACCTACTGCTTTCATGGCCCAGTTCCTAACAGGCTGTGGACCAGTACTGGTCTGTTGACTGAGGGTTGGGGACCCCTGAGTTAAACTGATAAATTGTGCATAAGTTAGGCATAAAATTGTTTAATTTTGCATAATAGTATGAACTATATACCAAATATGTATCAAAGGAAATGAATTGCATAGTTTTCTGATTAGGAGAGAAATATATTTTTTAAAATAAATATATTACAAAAAATATGAATCTGTTTAGATATCCAGGTTAATAGTACTTTTCCAGTCTCATGTCTCTACATATAATTTGGTTCACAGTCGGGCCTGAAATGTGATTGGCTATGTTTTTGTTCAACCAGATATTCCATTTCCCACAAAGGTATTTGTCTTGTAATGGAGACACAATCACTACTGTAGTTTATCGTTATCACATTGTGGTTTTTAATCAATGTCCACAACTGAGCTGAATGCAAATGGCTTATGCAGTAGATGATGTCTTGTTCTAATTGAACTAATTCTTGAAATGCCAAGGAATACCTCAACAGCAGCTTTAGCGCGTTCAAATTCCTCTTCCAAGGAATGATTTCGGGTTAAGAGAGGTCCTCCCCAGCATTGCTCTTTGGTTGACTGGCCCTGGAAGAAAACCACAGTCAAAAAATAAGACAAGGCAAGATAATCATTGAAAGAATCAGAATCAGTCAATGCTTAGGGCTAAGTTTAGGTTTGTATCAGGAATAAAGATATTTTCAAACTGAACTTATATCCTGGTGATTGCACCCATGCATTTTTCTTAGCAGCACTAAGATGTACAGAAGTATTTCTTTATTCAAATTTATTATAGCGGCTAAAAACAGTTTGTTATTTCTTTCTTGTGTTTTTTAATTTTTCTTATGGATTAGTCTAATAGTTCCCAAATGGTTTCCTACTTAAATACTAGCCAGGGTGACCCTACTCAGCTTTCAAGGTAAGCCAAACATAAATAACAACAACAACAACAACAACAACAAAGTTGGAAGGGACCTTGGAGATCATCTAGACCAACCTCTTGCTCAGGCAGGAAACCCTATACCATTTCAGACAAATGGCTGTCCAGTTTCTTCTTAAAGACTTCCAGTGTTGGAGCATTCACAGCTTCTGGAGGCAGGTGTTCCACTGATTAATTGTTCTAATGGTCACGAAGTTTCTCCTTAGTTCTAGGTTGCTTCTTTCTTTGGTCAGTTTTCATCCATTGCTTCTTGTCCTGCTTTCAGGTGCTTTGGAGAATAGCTTGACTCCCTCTTCTTTGTGGCAGTCCCTGAGATACTGGAACACTGCTATCATGTCACCCCTCGTCCTTCTCTTCATTAAACTAGACATTCCCTTCATTAAACTAGACATTCATTCCTTATATATTTTAGCCTCCAGTCCCCTGATCATCTTTGTTGCTCTGCTCTGTATTCTTTCTAGAGTCTCGACATCTTTTTTACATTGTGGTGACCAAAGCTGGATGCAGTATTCCAAGTGTGGCCTTACCAAGTCATTGTAAAGTGGTATTAACACTTCATGTGATCTTGATTCTATCCCTCTGTTAATGCAGCCCAGCACTGTGTTGGCTTTTTGGCAGCTACAGCACACTGCTGGCTCATATTTACGGTAAGGGATTGTCCACTAGGACTCCAAGATCCCTCTCACAGTTGCTACTATTGAGCAAGGTACGTCCTATACTATACCTGTACATTTGGTTTTTCTTGCCTAAATGTAGAACCTTACTTTAAAGATATTTTAAACATATGCTGCTTCCTCTTGAATTTGCACAAATGTATATTTTGGCTAGTACTGTGAAGCTGTTATTGTTCAGGACATTTTCTTAGTGTAGTTTCAGTTATTACAATTCACTGCAGGTTTTGGAGTTAGATGCAGCTCTCAGACTTTAGATTGTGAATTCCTGATTTAGAAAACTTCACAACATTGTCCATTGTTTGTGTCATGCTCGAAGGAGTTTTGCTTAATTAAATTGAAAATGAAAGGTCCTTATTCCTAGAGCCGAGTCTAGGTTTTTGGAAAAATAGTCAAGGGAGATAACCATAAACAAGCCTCTTTTCGGAAGGTATTTGATGGTAGAAACTTGTCTTAGAAATCACTTTTCTTAGTACACTTCCTTTGATCCTGAGTGTATCCAATAATTATATTTATTTCTTTATTATTGAATTTATATACCACCCATCTCTCTATCCAATATCACAAACAAGTCAGTGCTTTGCCCTTTCCAGAATACAAAGGTTTCAGATGCTGACTTTAGCTCTGCTTTTCCTGGCTTCTTCTTTTTGTTCTCTGACTTTGGAAGTATTATAAGTGATATACACCTTGTATTGGGAAGGGAGGGAGAGAGGAAGGGAGGGAGGGAGGAAGGAAGGAAGGAAGGAGGGAGGGAAGGAAGGAAGGAAGGAAGGAAAGACATTAATATGGTCACAGACCAAATGACTAAGAAATGGTTTCCATATTAAACCTATCGAGGGGAATTCTTCTTTCTATGGCTGAGAGTGAGTGGTTCCAAATTCTTCTATCAAATGCTTGGGAAAAATGTGTATTATTTTGAATAGAGTTGAAAGTACTTTGCTAGATGGAAGCTGGAAGCATGGCTGCCTACAAACAATATTGGTGGCCAAAGGCCAAGCTTTGTCTCATTGTTAATCTCCACCAGTCTTCACTTTGCTTGAAGTGAAGCCATTGCTTGATCACAGCCCAGTTCTTTATCAACAGCAGTGAAGCTGTATCAAACATTTTCTCATCAATCTCAGCTTCTAAGCCCCCCCCCCCCGCTGTTTTCATTTTCCACTTTGACCAGGCAGTAGTGATTTGTGGATACCTGCTATTCCTGGCTTTTTCCTTTGTTCAGCCTCTTTCTTTGGATTCATCCGATGGGAACAAGTGCAATGCAAGTTGATAATCCCCCTTTTCATTAAAATAAAACCCCTTTCTAAACTCATGAACCCGCTGAAAAGAAATTTCAACTTTCAATGCAGGGATAAGCCATGAAGTGACCTAAAAACGTTGGCTTTGCTAAGCTCATGATCTCAGGCTTGTCCAAGGTCAAACTCATTAACCAGATCTCTTTCCAACAAAAGAGGGCAACTACGTGTGCTTACATGATTTTATTTTGGATCATTATCATTCTTGCAGTTACTCAGTTGTAAAGAGTTGCCAGATGCATAAAACACCGAGCTAGCTGTTTTGTTTTTTTCCCCTTTGGGAGAAAGAAAAGGATCTGCTGATCTTAGTCTGAGCACTACTGAATGAAGAACAAGTTAGAGCAGTGTTTCTCAACCTTGGTAACTTTAAAAAGTGTGGACTTCGACACATTTCGACAAGGCTGGCTGGGGAATTCTGGGAGTTGAAGTCCACACATCTTAAAGTTATCAAGGTTGAGAAACACTGGGTTAGAGCAGAGGTTCCCCAACCTTTTGGGCACCAGGGACCGGTTCCGTGGAGAGAGGTTTTTTCCGTGGACCAGAAGGGGCGTGGTTTTGCATGTTGCCTGCATCCCGCGGATGGGGCTTCACTTGTTTGCACACCCTAGTTTCTGGCATGCTGCAGCCCGGTACCAATCCAAGGCCCAGGGGTTGGGGGCCTCTGGGTTAGAGCATGCTCCTTCACAATTCTCAGATGATTAGGATGATACCAGATGTGATATGGTGTAATAGGTGCACAGGAGCATAACCAGATATGTAAGATGTTACCTTAATGGCTCATTAGACTATTTAATGTTCATAAACGGTAATCTCAAGACAAGACTATCTGGAATGTAGATGGTTTCTCAACTACTGCAAAGCATATAGTGATTAGAAATGGCCTCTATCAGTATGTTCATGCACATTGTCCCAAAAGTGCTTTTTAAAATGCAACTGGGCTTTCTTTGTTTTTCCTTGAAGAAATTTTACTTCTCATCAGTTCTGAAGAAGCTTCTTGGATGAGAAGCAAAATGTGACATCTTCAATCTTCAGTTGCTTTTGGGACACCTTTGGGACAACCATGACCTGGATGACTGAGACTCTCCATAGACATTCATGCACACATTCCCTTAATACTGGGAACGTTGTGCGTGTGTGGAAGGACAGGAGTGCTGGTATACCATAATGGCTAAAATATATTCCTAGTACCTCGTTTGAATTGGTCTTAAGCAAACTCAAGTCCTTGTAGCAATATTTATGGTAAGGTGATTCCTGTTCATATCAGTGCTGCATTACTGAGATACTATTCTGAATACAGTATGTCCCAAATTCATAGTTGCTCTGCAACTATCACTGTTTTTTTTTAAATGTTAATTTAATTCTTGTCATGTTAAGTATGCATGTCCTTAAAAGCTGCCAATCAGTCAACTGGTGAAATCAAAATCAATCCAGAAAGAGTCCAGAGGTTAAATCTGACATAATCAAACATACATTTGTTTTTAGACATGCTTTTTTCAAGTGTCTCCGATTTTTATGCAACATACTTGAATATGCATTAATTTATATGAACTTTTCCAGATAGGAACAACTGACCCCAGTGTTTGATTGATTGACTGACTGAATTACTGTTGTTCACTGCTGTTCTGAAGAATGGATCAATCCTCCTCCAGGGTAAGATTTAACATTTAATAAATGCTACCCCAATGATTTCTGTGCACTTTCAAGTAGCTGTGCTTGGGAGATACGTCAGAAAATGACATGGCTAGAATAACATCCTTCCTCCTGAAACCCACCTAAGATGCGTTGTAATCTTAACACAGTGGACAAGAAGGCATATCGTCAAATTCTACAAAGAAATTTTATATATTAAACCACAATTGAAACCACCTTTTTTGTTGATGGATGACCAAGATAGATTAGTAGCTGTGGAAGTGCAGATACAAAGAGTTTAAATCTATAGTACAGGTAGTCCTTGACTTAACAACCATTTGTTTGTTCCATATAGTATTAACCTTGTGAACTCTAAAGCTTCCTCCTTTTGTTATATATTCAAGATGGACAGTGATTAATATTTATACATTACTTATATGTAAGGGTGTAGGTCTATACATATGTTGTATTTAGTATGTTTTAAATGTATGTTATGTATGTGTACACTTGAGACAAAGCAACTATATTTCATTTTCAATGTGTGCTGTTGTGCCCACAGGGAAAAAAATGACAATAAAGTTATCTAATTTGTTTAGTGACTATGTGGCAAGAAAGATTATATAAAATCGGGCAAAACTCACTGAACACATGTCTCACTTAGCAACAGAAACTTTGGGTTCAATTGTGGTCATAAATCAAGGACTACCTGTAGATCCTCGGCTGCTTTTCTAAGTGCATCATAAAACAATACTACATTAGAGACTTCCGGTTCCGGTTCGCGGCGACTCTGGTCGCATCTGGAGACTTGTCTCTACCCCGGCTGGGTTTTTCTTCGCCGGTAGACTTGGGGTACAGAAAAAATCTTTCTTTTAAGAGCTCTACTATCATATTATACTGGAAGATTGTTTCTTTTTCCACCTTTTTCTCTAAAAGATAGAAAAAGGGAAAAAGTGCTGTCTGGAAAAGATTTTTAATTCTATTGAGGACATCTAGTAGCGAAAAGTTAATATTGCAACTGCTGGTTACTGTTTGGAGATGAGATGTACTTGGCCTTCAAATTACTTTTGAAGAGAAAAGATAAGCGGATGTAGCTGTGGGAACTGTGGGGGTGGATACTGCCTTACTTTTATTAAATACAGCCTCCACTAAAAGAAAAAAGGGACTCTCTTCAATTATTATTAAAATGGAGAAACCTTATTCACAATTGAACTATAAACTTATATTGGAAAAGATCTATGAAGTTAGAAGAAATATGTGCTACAATCAAAGAGATTTCTACAGAATTAAGAGTCAGAAGCCATATTCCAAACCTTCAAACTGACTTTCAGACAACATCTGACCATTCTACAAACCAAAACATACTGGAAGAGGATTTAGTTGAGACTAAAGAGGAATTTATTTTACCCTACAAGGATTTCATCTATACCTTTGAGGATCAGAAAAATCAAAGACTGCAATTTGAGCCTTTAAAGCAATGAAACTTTAAGGATAAGAGAAATAGATGCCTGACTTCTGGTTCCAGAATGCGGCGACACCGGTTGTGCCTGGAGTTTCCTTCGTCGGTAGACCCCCTAGGGGGTCGAAAGTCACCCTGGAGGGGCAACCACCAAGGAGGAGGCTGGCTGGTAGATAGGGGAGGGTGGCAGTTTCCCCTGAGTCTCCAGCTTCTCCTTAGGGCTGACGGAGCAAAGATCGGCCTGCCGATCACCCTGCTGCACCAGCCGAAAGTCACATCATCATCTAAGCATTAAAGACCCACCGCAGATGATCCGTGTGAGACCCCTTTTGTCCCTCCCCATACCCCTGCTGTTTTTGCCTGTAGAAGCTGTTTGTGCTATTATTTCCCCGTCTGGAGAAAGCAGCTTTAGTAATCATGGGAACAAACGCGTTTTACAAAAAGGACAGAAAAAATAAATAAATATTCATTTAAAGACTATATTCTATTCCTACTTACATTGTGCTGTAGAAAAAACTGGTTTTTGTGCTTTTTGGAGCGGTATTATATTGGCAGAGTATTTCTTTTTCTATTCTCCCTTTAAATATAGAAAAAAGGAAAAAAATGGCATTTGAAGAAGTCTTTTTAGCTCAACGAGGACACCAAGTTAATATTGGATTGTTGTTTATTTGGAGATGAGCGAGCTTTGGCCTTCAAACTGTTTTTAAAGAAAAAAGATAATTTGAGCTAGCTGTGTGATCTGAGGGGGTGGATAATGTTCAACTGTTCAACTGTAACCTTCACTAAAAAGGAAAAGGATTCTTCTTCAACTATTGCTAAAATGGAGAAGCCTCAATCACATTTAAACTGTAAACTTATACTGGAAAAGATCTATGAGGCTAAAGAAGAAATATTTACTACAATAAAAGAGGCTACTACAGAACTAAGAGTCAGAATCTCTACTTTAAAATTTAAAACTGACTCCCAGATTACACTTGACTACTCTACAAAACAGATTATACAAGAAAAGGTTTTAACTGAGGATAAGGAGGATCTTATTTTGCCTTACAAGCAAGACCAGGAAAAGCAAAGACCGAACTTTGGACTTCTGAAGCAACAAGGCTTTATGGACAAGAGAAACAGAGGATTAAATCAGAGATCAAGATGGTCTGTATCGAATCAAGTGACACTACAAGCAACAAAAAGAGACCTATTATCTGGAAGGGAAGCCCTGTTATGGAAACCTACCTGGCAAAAGAGGAAAGCTAAAATAAGATTGAAAAATGAAATTTAAAATTTCTTAAATTGGATTAAAGGCAACCTAGAACTATGGACTGATCTATGGACTGAGATTTTGAGTTTGAAGTAAAAAGATGTCTTAGAGTTGGAGTGAATCAATAATTAATTGAATGTTAATTAAATATTGAAATGATTTAAGGTTTGATATTAATTTGTTAACTTAAAGAGATTGATTAAGTGAAGGATTAGATATCTAGAGAATAGTTTGATAAATACATTTAGATGTGTCTAGGATAGATTAATATTTTTGTTTAAAAATGAGATATCTTTCTATATAAGGGATTAAAGACAATTTAGAATACTAGGAATGTTCCTTTTAGAATGTTAGGTTTATTTTTATGAAAATTATGATGTAATGGAATGACGAAAATTGAAGAGATGTTTCAGATTTGAAGTGAACTAATAGTTAATTGAAATTTAATAAGATGATATGATTTTCTGATGATATGGACGTTATTAGTCATGATAATTAACTGGAGACTTGAATTTTGTTTAATGGAATTACATGATTTAAGGTATGATATTATTTTTTTAGCTTGAAGAGATAGATCAATTGATAGATTTGATAGGTATAAGATAGATTAATATTTTACTCTAAATAAGGGAGATTAATGGAAGAAGAAACAAATAAGATTTTGATAAAATTAAGAAAGTAGAACATATGTGGAAGGGATATTTGAATTAAAAATGTTTTTATTTAAAGTTAATTTGATTATAGTAGAAATTGATGAAGTTTAAAAACAGGTTCAGGTTGAATAAATTTAAGCTAGAATTGGATATTCTAAATATACTATGCTATTTGAGGGAAAAAGAGAGGGAATATTTGACAAATTGATTATATTATGTATATATGTCTTGTTTTAAGATATTTGATTACCCCAGCACCACGGTGTGTCCTGAATATGTTGCTTTAAGAACTTAAAAAACCAATAAAATTTGTTTTTTTTTTAAAAAAAGAGAATTAGACGCCCAATGCAGAGAACGGGATGCTTCTTACTGTCTCAAATGATGCTACAAGCAACAAAGAGAGTCTTATTGGCTGAAAGGGAAGCTTTGTTATGGAAACCTGTCTGGCACAAAAAAAGGCCAGAAGAAGACTGAAAAGTTAAATTCAAAATTATATGTGATGGATCAATGGCACTGTAGAATTATGGATTGATTTAAGGATTAAGATTTAGAGTTAGAAATAAGAGAAAAATGGGTGATTATTAGAATATATATTTTAAATAGATTAAGAATGTATTCTTTGGAATAATAGGTTTATTTGTATGAAAACTATTATGTAATGGAATGAAGAAAACTGAAGAGGCGTTTTAGATCTGGATTGATTTAATAACTAATTGAGTATGTTAAATTAGTAAGATGATGTTCTTGCTTGACAATATGGACGTTATTAGGTATAATAATTAACTGGATTAAATTTGAATTTGGTCCAATGGGCTGAAATTATTTAAGGTTTGATGTTACTTTGTTATTTTGTTATCTTAAAGAGATTGATTGATTGATGGATTATATATGTATAGGATAGACTAATATTTTACTTTAATTAGGAGATATATTGTGTAGTGAAAGAAGAAATAAATGAGATTTGTGATAAAATTAAGGATTTAAGAGATTGAGATCTAGAATATATCTGGAAGGGATACCTGAATTGATAATCTGTTTCTTTAAAGTCAAATTTGATTATCCTAATTGTAAATTCACAAAGCTCTAAAACAGGTTTAGGATTGTTAGAAATTTAAATTAGAAATGGATTATTTTAAATGTATTAGGTTAATTGAGGGAAATAGAGAGGGAATATTTAATGTATTGATTTGAGTTATTCATATATGGTTTTATTTCTGGATGTTTGATTACCCCAGCACTATGGTGTGTCTTAAGCACTTTGTTCTAAGAATCAAAAAACCAATAAAATTTGTTTTAAAAAAAATAAAAAATACTACATTAAATGTCAAATAATATTAAAATAACTAATAGTGTTAGTAATGATGCAGATACCAGGATTAATATTACTGATTTGCAAAATATGAATATTATCTAGAATACACCACCGTTTTGGACTGCTTCAAAACACAACTAGTCTAAATAAAAGCCAGCTCTTACCTTTGGTGCAGGGTCTAATTCTAAATCTGTGGCTGAAATAGATTCCAGTGTGGTTTTACCGGTGGCCAGCTCAGGCTGTGAACTGTTTTTCGCCAACCTACAAAAGAACAAAATTGTACCTCCTTGAATTGCACCCAGGAGTAATTGGTGATTAGTGCAGTTCACTCTCAGCAAAGGTGTTATGTGATCATTGCATGGCCCACACATCACTGTTGATACTGTGGCATTCTGAACCAACTGTAGCTTTTGAATAGTTTTCAAGGGCAGCCCCATGTAGAGCGCAATGCAACAGACTATCCTCAAGATGATTGAGATACAAGTGAGAATGAGTCCATGAATTCTAACTGCCACCGTCAATTGTTTTCTGACCATTTTATGTTGAAGTCATGCTCAGCTTTAAACACTAACAAGCATTTCTCTTGGTTCTCTTCCTGTAGTATATCATTATACAATGCACACATGATTTGTGGCTGAGCTGTTCCCTGCTTTCCCATTGGTTTGAGTCATCTCCTTATAGGCATGATAGTCAACTAAATTGCAGGTGTGGGATGGCAGGTTATGAATGTTGTATGGCTAAGAAATTAACTACAGGTTGCCCAGAATCTGTAGTTTGAAAGGGACCTTGGAGGTCTTCTAATCCAACCCCCCTGCTCAGGCAGGAGACCCTATACCATTTCAGACAGGTGGTTGCCCAATCAGCGATGGAGCACTCATGACTTCTGAAGTTCCACTGATTAATTGTTCTAATTGTCAGGATGACACGGGTAGAATGAGGTAGGATAATTCATCTCAACCAATGAGAGGATTGGTCCTCAGAGAAAGTTAAAAGCACAAATTACCACACAAATTCTTTTGATGGAACTTTAGAAGATGATGATCTTCTCTCAGGACCTGAAGAAGCTTTGCCAGCTCTTTCTCCACGATGCTTGACTTCATCCCATTTTTCTAGTTGCCCCTGGATATTGACTGGATAAGGCAAAAGAAAATGAATTCTTGGAAGAAAAGCAAATATTAAGTCTCTCTCCAGTTCAACTAGACGCCTTGTAGCCATCTTAGCAATAACAACACAGGAATGTCTAGCTATTGGTAGTCCTCAGTTTACAACCATTCATTTAGTGTAACTGTTCAAAGTTACAATGACACTGAAAAAAGGGACGTACGACCGTTTTCACACTTAGGGCTGATGCAACATCCCTGTGGCCAAATTCAGACCTTTGGCAACTGACTCATATTTATGACAGTTGCAGTTGTCAAGACTGATTCGCCCTTTCACCTACATTTTCTCCATCACTCATAATTTGACAAAAAACAGAACAGAGATTGTGGAATGGAATGCAAAGGTGGGAGAGATGGTACCTAGGCAACTGAGGTGTCTTTGAGCCTGCAATAACGCAGGTGGACTTTTCCCATAACAAGAAGACATATTACTATTGGACAGGGGCGAGTGAAGCTATTGTTTAATTAAGTAAGCTTTTGCGTGGGAAATCCAGATCTGGTTTCATTTCTTCTGTGCCAATATAAATTTTCAGGAAAGTATTATACTCTTGATAAAATCATGTCCCAGGAGTTTCTTTTTCTGGAAATGCCAAATGGACAGTTGACAGCAAGATCCTGGGGACCCTCTGACAAGCAAAATCAATGGGGAAGCCAGATTCACTTAACAATTGTGTTACTAACTTAACAACTGCAGTGGTTCACTTAACAACTGTAGCAAGAAAGGTCATAAAATGGGACAAAATCCGCTTATCAACTGTCTTGCTTAACAACAGAAATTTTGCAGACAATTGTGCTCATAAGTTGAGGACTACCTGTACTGCTTTCTTTCAAGAGGTTTATTTGACCTTTTGGTCCAACCTATTCCTCTGGACCAGAATGGTGTCCCTTCATCCAAGCATGAACCAAGGCCGACCCTGACTAGCTCTTTTATTTCAGAAAGGTTAGCTAAGTCACAGCAGGAAAAGGGCATCTCAGAAATAGATTTCTTTCTCTTGAAACCAAAGAAAGAAGGAAATTGTCGCACGCCCTCTCCACTGTGAGTTTCATATCTGCTGCTGCTGCAGTAGAGAATACAATGGATGCATTCACATAACACCCTTAACCAGTTATGGGATAACAACTTGGTGTTTGCATTTGCATCAACTATTAAACTTGGTTGGAGTTAAACGTAGGTACAGTTTAGTTGGGTTTGGGTGAAGTGCAAACCCAGACAGGTTTACAATTCAATATAACACGCACGTTTAAATAATGGCTTAATTTAACAGGTTAGTTAAGCTTGTGTGAACACAGTGAAGTATTCAAAGACCAGCAGATGAACCAGAGTTACAAGTTGAAGATGCGCTCTGAAAAAGAATGACTTTTTCCCCCTGATTCATAAAAGCAGCCACAGAAGAGCCTTGGAAGAGCTGTAGATCATTAGAAGCAGCTTTTTGTAATGCTGCTTCTTCCAGCTGGATCTGTTCCACACGTGTTGAACTACAACTCCTATCATCCTATCCTATCCTAGACAGAAACATAGGACTTCTAATCTAGCCCAGGGGTTCCCAACCGCCGGTCTGTGGACCAGTACCAGGCCGCACAAACAAGCAAAGTACCATTCACTGGATGCAGGCAGCACACAAAACCACGCCCTCTCCAGTCCACGGAAAAACCTCTCTCCACATAACCAGTCCCTGGTGCCCAAAAGGTTGGGGACCTCTGATCTAGCCCATCTGAAGGGTATCAGGTTGTGAAAGAGTACTGACAAAACAAATATGCAGGAGATAGGATTATCTGTAGGTCCTCTTTAAAAGATTTTAAACCTCATCCTCCTCAGTCTTCACATTAGTGGTCCAAGTACTGTGGTATAGTTCTTTGGCGTGAGATTGCTGTTTAAAATAACCCGTTATTTGTACCTGTGAAATGGTGCAAGATATTATTTCCTATCCTTGGCTTCTCAATCCCAAGAGGTGAACAGGCTAAATATTACAGTTAGTATCCCAACCTGTGTTGTGAATGTCCTTAATTCTAGTCTAGTTCTAGTCCAACGGGACCATTTAGAACTGATCGCTCCTATCTATCTATCTATCTATCTATCTATCTATCTATCTATCTATCTATCTATCTATCTATCTATCTATCTATCTATCTATCTATCTATCTATCTTTTCTGAGGTTTTCACGGATGTTTGTATGTAGGTCTTTGGTTATTCAGGTTTTCTGCCGCATAAAATTGGAAGTGTCTTGGTGACGTTTCAATGAAGTCCCATTCGTCATCTTCAGGCTGGTGTTTTCAGCTTCATGCTTCTAGGAGCAATGTGTGATCATAGCTGTTTCTTCCCTTTAACTGCCAGTGGGGGTATGAACTGATTGGGTGGGAGCTTGGCTGTGTTTTGATTGGGTGGAGATGTGTTCTGATTGGTTAGGGGCTTGGCTGTGGTCTGATTGAATGGGGGGGGGTTGGCTGTGCTCTGATTGGCTGGGGGAGTGTTGTGTTTGGGTGGGGGCTTTGTTGTGCTCAGGTTAGTCTGAGTTGCAGGGGGTAATGAGATGGTGAGTTGCATTGCTGTTGTTTGGCTTCACATTTGTGGTCCTGCCTCATCTTCATGGTGGGAGTCATTTGCTTCATGTATGGATTGGAGTGGTTTAAAGTGGCTAATGATGCAGCCATGGTCTGGCTTCTGGTTTGCGGTCATGCCTCATCATCGGTGTGAGTTTGGGTTTGCTTTTTGCGTGGATGTGTGGTGATGACATCCTGTATGGTTTTTGTGAGTGTGGTCTGGTATCATTCTTTGTGTTACGGACTCATTTGTCAATAAGGGCGGGTTTCCAAATGGCTGGTAGGCAGGAGGTATCATCTCGTTTATTCATGCTGTGTGGGCATTTTTCTATCTCGATGGCTTCTCTGATTATTCTGTTATTAAAGTGTTCAGTTTTGGCAATAGTTCTGGTCTTTTTAAAGTCAATTTTGTGTCCTGTGGCTTTAAGGTGTTGGACCAGGGAAGAAGTTGGTTCCTCTTTTTTGACTGAGTTCTTATGTTCTTCAATGCATGCACTTATTCTTCTGTTGGTTTGTCCAATGTATGTGGTGGGGCAAGCGGTGCATGGGATTTCATATACTCCTTGATTTTCTAACTCAATTTTGTCTTTGGGGTTTCTTAGGATGGTGGATATTTTTCTGTTTGTGCAGAATGCTGTCTTGATGTTGTGTTTGTGGAGGATCTTGCTGATTCTGTCTTTGGTGCCTTTTATGTATGGGAGGAGGGCTTTGCCATTTTTTTGTTCTCTGTCTCTGTAGCCAAGACACTCATCTCTAGAACAAAATGCTTAGCTGATGAACAACACCTAAAAACCAAACTATACACTCTCACTAATATACTAACATCCAATGGATTCCAAAGGAATAAGATTACCAAACTAAGACCAAACTTACCAAATTGCAAAGCAATTTAAATAGGTTTAATAGAGTATAGCTTTCCTTCAAGAATATGAATGTCAAGTGGTGTCCACTGGAGGGCAGGTCCAAATTGACAAGATGGTGGATAAAGAGGTAAACAGGGTTTTCCCTGTCCAGTCATGTCTAACTCTAGGGGGTGGTGCTCATCTCTGTTTCCCAGCTCAGGCAGCTAGCATTGTCCAAAGACACTTCCATGTTCATGTGGTCAGCATGACTATATGCCGAGGCATACGGAATGCTGTTACCTTCCCACCGAACTAGTACCTATTTATTTATTCACATTTGCATGCTTTCGAACTGCTAGGTTTCAGGAGCTGGGACAAATAATGGGAGCTCAGCCCATCATGTGGTACTTGGATCTCCAACCTGGGCTGTCAGCATTCTAGCTAACAAGCTCAGCATCTTTACCACTGGGCCATCATGCCCCCTAAGATGGTGGATATGTATAGCAATCCAAGGCTTTACTATCATCTTCCTGATCATGACCTCTGTTGAAGATGCCTCCAGAACAGCTACCTACCTAAATCCAATGATTTTTCTGGACCCTTGAGTGGTTGGATTTTCTGTTCAGTGTCCACATAGATAAGATCTGGTTTTTCAGTCTTCCTTCTATGGGTCGACCCTTTCAAGCTCTCCCCTCTTGAGGAATTCTCCCATTTCTTCACTTTGCTTTGGGTTTGGGAAACAGGTTCACTGAGGTCCAGGAGATCCAGACCTGTTGACAGAACTATCACAGGACCATTATGAAAAAAAGAGACATTTTAATACTTTCACAGTGCTTTGTAATTCCAATGTTTGAAAAAATAAGCTGAATTTCCTTTGCCTTTGTCAAGGTGGAATCCAAACTGAATGTAACATGGGATAATTTGTGTGTGTGTGTGTTTCTCTCTCTCCCTCCCTCCCTCCCCCCCCTCTCTCTCTGCATCCATATGTGTTGGCAAGGGAAGGTAGATTCCTGTATCTCATGTTAGGACTAAAAAAAGATCTATAGGAAAGAATGGTGACTCTCTGATTGAAATCCCTGCTTACACACATGACTTACATTTATTACAAATCACAAAAATTACCTATTTACTTTTTATACTTTCCAGCTCATAGTAGTTCCACACTGATGATTAATATAAGAGGATCAGCTCAGGGGCTCCATGTGATCCTCAATGGAACCACATCTACATGGAGGGAAGTGTGTAGTGGGGTGCCCCAGGGCTCTGTTCTGGGCCCAGTGCTCTTCAACATCTTCATCAATGATTTGGACGAGGGGATAGATGTGGAACATCAAATTTGCAGATGATACCAAGCTGGCAGGAATAGCCAACACTCCAGAAGATAGGCTTAGGATACAGGAGGATCTGGACAGACTTGAACAGTGGGCACTATCTAACAAAATCAAATTCAATGGTGAAAAAAAGTAAGGTTCTACATTTAGGCAAGAAAAACCAAATGTACAGGTATAGTATAGGGGATACCTTGCTCAATAGTAGTAACTGTGAGAGGGATCTCGGTGTCCTAGTGGACAATCACTTAAATATGAGCCAGCAGTGTGCTGCAGCTGCCAAAAAGGCTAACACAGTGCTAGGCTGAATTAACTGAGGGATAGAATCAAGATCACACAAAGTATTAATACCACTCTACAATGCCTTGTTAAGGCCACACTTGGAATACTGCATCCAGTTTTGGTCATCACGATGTAAAAAAGATGTTGAGACTCTAGAAAGTGTACAGAGAAGAGCAACAAAGATGATTAGGGGACTGGAGGTTAAAACATATAAGGAAAGGTTGATGGAATTGGGTATGTCTAGTTTAATGAAGAGAAGGACGAGGAGGGACATGATAGCAGTGTTCCAATATCTCAGGGGCTGCCACAGAGAAGAGGGAATCAAGCTATTCTCCAAAGCAGCTGAAGGCAGGACAAGAAGCAATGGATGGAAACTAATCAAGGAGAGAAGCAACCTAGAACTAAGGAGAAACTTCCTGACAGTTAGAACAATTAATCAGTGGAACACCTGCCTCCAGAAGAGGTGAATGCTCTAACACTGGAAGTTTTTAAGAAGAGACTGGACAGCCATTTGTCTGAAATGGTATAGAGTTTCCTGCTTGAGCAGGGGGTTGGACTAGATGACCTCCAAGGTCCCTTCCAACAACAACAACTTCTTCTTCTTCTTCTTCTTCTTCTTCTTCTTCTTCTTCTTCTTCTTCTTCTTCTTCTTCTTCTTCTTCTTCTTCTTCTTCTTCTTCTTCTTCTTCTTCTTCTTCTTATTCTTCTTCTTCTTCTTCTTATTCTTCTTCTTCTTCTTATTCTTCTTCTTCTTCTTCTTCTTCTTCTTCTTCTTCTTCTTCTTCTTCTTCTTCTTCTTCTTATTATTATTATTATTATTATTATTATTATTATTACATGCTTCAAGCAGAAACGAGGTAAATACAGGTACATCACAATACAACCTGAGACCCATTATAAGCAATTCTTCAGTTTGTCCAAATTCCATAGAGCTATTTCTATAAATATCAATCAGAAGACCTTTCTGTTTAAAATAGTTAAATAGAAGCGTGGCAAGGTGACACATTCATTGTGTAAATGAGCATCAACCTTTCTGAAAATCAATATAAGGAATCATCAAGAAAGGATATTACATGCATGCTATTTTTAAAAGCCTGGAACCACGTAGGCAATGGTAGAGGATTGAATCCTACGAAAGGGCTGACCTGTAGCACAAAATAGCAGTGGCACAAGTCTTAAGATCCATGTAATTTAAAAAAAAGACACTGATATGTCTTTATCATTCTCTGGCTTTACCTTACCTGTAATTCAGGTAAATGAAAGTACATTGTTTTCCTTTTGGATGACCTCTTTTTTAAAAAAGTAACTTCATTAAAAATTACAACTGCAAAAATGCCAACTAATATATATACAGGTTAAAAAGAAAAAATAGAAAATGAAGAAAAGAAGGAAAAATAAGTGTAAAGAACAAGAAAATAAATATAATAAACAAGAAAAGTCCCCTTCATCATAAGTAGAAACAATTTTAGTAATTAATCACCTTCTCTTAAAATACAACAAATATTAACTTTTTCACATATCCTATCTTTTATCTATAAAAGCTCCCTTGGGAGCTTGGGGCAACTGGATGGAACTGAGCATTTACTGGCTGGATGTCCTTCCTGACACCACACGGAGTAGTAGATTTTTTTCTTTGCGCCCTAAGAGAGAAACATCTGCCGCCACCTAGGATGGAACTCTCAACCTTCCAAGTGGGAAGAGAGTATTTTCACCACCCCGCTCATCTTTTTATCTGTGAACAAATCCTTAAAACCTCATTTCAGTCTGATCAGCAAAAGTCCATTAAGAGTTACCCAAAATAACAGCATATTTATTTTGACCTTGATCAAATAAATCAACTTCATATCCATGCCTTCTACTTTTAACCATCTTGATCTTTAATCTCTTCAAATAGAACTTGATTTCTTCTTCCAGATTTTTCTTTGTCCTTTTTCACACAATTCTTTTAAAACTTTAACACACAATTCTTTTAAAGCCTCTTTGTAAATCCAGTATAGGAAGATTATCCAGGTTACTCTCTTGGTTCATTATTTGTACATCCCTTTTAATTATCAAGCCCTCAGTTGATTTCTTTCATACGTCTACTGCAGCATCTTTTTCTGCATCATTCTTATATAACCTGTCATTTATAAATTCATTTTCAGATCAGTCTCAGTGTTGCTGGGTAAAACCTGTTCTTTTTTCATAACATTGTAAATGCAATCTATTATAGAGGCAGGCTTAACATTAACTTCTGCATCCATTGTTCAAACTTATCCTTCAACATATCCAATGTTAAAATATTTTGCTTCAATATTAGTAAGTTAAAATTAAGTGTTTTTCTCCTTTCATTGTGATCTTTAGTTCTTTCTGGTTCCCTCTTTGGATGCTCTTTTGAAATTATTGTCCTACTATACTCATTTGATTATGTAGAAAAGAGGATATAAAAGCCATATTCAATATGGGTCTACAAATATTGTTGGAGAAACCATAAATGAATGAGAAGACAGAAGAAGTTTATCCTGTTTTACAGCATATCCTTCTTCTTCTTCTTTTTTTTTTTTGTCAAAAACCAGATCCTGCATTGGGTGGAATAGCAACAAGGCTAAAAAGTCTTACAAATTCATCTAAATTTGATACCGTTTGTGAATCTAATATGCAAAGGTATATTTCCCTAATGACAGCTGGCAGGACAGATTAATTTATTTGCAACCCTGTATTCAAATCACCTCATCTGGATGAGAGGGATGTGTACATAACACATCCCTTGCATGCAAATGGTTTGTGGTTCAGTCTTACCAGGTCCTACACACACACACCTTAGAGGGTTCTTGCCACTCAGAATGCATATGTGATTTGATGGACAATCTCATTTGGAATAAGTGAGGCAGTTATGTGGCTATTAGACTAAGCTAAGTAAAATAACTAGCAAAAATGTTTTAGGAAGACTGGGTGTTGTCATTACACTTTCTTTCTGCAGCCAAAATATGTTGGGAATGCATGATGGTTGGGAATTCTAAGAGTGACACCTGGAGAGTATCAGGCTATGAAAAAAAACCTTACATAGAAACTATAGGTCCACAGTGTTCTCCATTTTGGTTCACCCCAGATAAGTTGGATTGCAACTTTCACATTTCCTAGTCAGTATAGGACAAAGTGAAACTGGTGTTGGGGAAAATTGGCTAAACCAACTAGCAGTAACTTCTGAAAGTTATAGAGAAGATTTTTCTCATGTATTGCCTTCAGGTGAATGTGAGATTTTATGTTTTTGTCTTCAAACCTTAGGAAAAAAGCTTTTGCCTTTATGGAGTACTAATGGCTCCTGAACCTCTTAAAATTTCCCTTAGGAGTCTTTTATTTCTTCCATCACTTCCAGTTTTCTTGTGAAACCCCCTCTCTCTCTTTTTGCAGAAATGCACTCCTAACTTGTTTAAAGTCAGATATTTGGAAATCCTGAAATGTGAGATTGTGTGGAAATAGTAACCACTTGCCTGGAATGGTATATAGCAGGCATGTCAAACTCGTGATGTCACGTGACATCGCGCGACATATCGTAGCTTTTTCGCCATTGCTGGCAATGGGGAGGGGGGCGCAGCTCTGGTATGATGAAACTGGCCCGCGGGCCGGCAGTTTGACACTCCTGGTAAGTAGGGTCTCCTGCTTGAGCAGGGGGTTGGACTAGAAGACCTCCAAGGTCCCTTCCAACTCTGTTGTTATTATATATGCAAACATGTGTTCTAGTAAGATATTATGGTCTTTTTCTCTTCCAGAGGTAACTCTCTTGGCATCATGATATTTTTATCTAGGCTGACCTGACTTGTTAAACATCAACAGGAGCCAAGAAATTTGTTTTCACACCTTTATTGTCAAAACCCAGATTTTGTGCTACTTGCATTTCCCCCCTTATATTTATACTGAATTTTTAAAAGCAGCAGTGAACTTTATTTAGCATCAAAACTATCTTTGTATGCCAGATGAAAAATGCATTCCATCCAGAACCCTGGCTCTATGATTAGCCAATAACACTTTGTTTCAGGAGAAACCAATGATATAAATATCTAAGAATATAGCTTTCAACTCACATGGCAACTTATATATATGTACCAGCCCTTTCTTTTGGAAACCCCACTGATTCTCATGGGTTTTCAAATTTTTTGGACATATTTGAACAGTGTCAAATATCACAAGCACATGTGCCATTAAGAACCACTGGTTTCTTCCCCCTCAAATGAGAGAAAATCTTTGTTGTTGTTTTTTTTGGTGGGGAGCTTCAAAAAGCAGTAGGCCGAGAAACAAACATCAAGCAGAGATTGGAAACAAATTGCAACGGAACAAGAGTGAATGCAAGATCTGTTACCTGCGGTATTTGACGTCACCGGACGTGCAATAGCTTCCGATTTCGTTTCGCAAAGAAAGTCATCTATGGAAGGACTCAGAAGTGGCCGGCTTTCTTGTTGCTCATTCACAAGCTAGTGACAAAAAGCAAGAGGAGATGTGTGGATGTGTGTGCATGTAGGCATCGCTTAGCTATGCACACAAATGTCACGACAGCATTGAACGACTTAAATATATATATATATATATATATTATTCCATTTCTGAAAGCATCAGTTGGCTTAAATTGGCACAATTCTTCCTTGAAATTAAATGAGGTGAACATAGCAACTGAATGAGAGGAAGCAAAATAAAATAAAATAAAGATAAAAACAGCACTCATCTGTACCTAACTCCAGACAGGTTTCAGACTTGTATTGGGAGAGGGTTCTCATCTTTTCAGGGATATAATTATATCCTAATCGGATTCCAAAGGGCTTGCTTTTTATGATTTGGAAATCTAATGAAGGCCCCTCTAGCTGGGTTCATACAATATGTTAAAACCCAACCCTCTTGTTAGCAAAATACAGTTGCTGTGCTTGTATAACATCCTATGCTCAAATAAATAATGGATTAAGGTAGCTTATCGTGGTTTAACCTGATGAGCTGCTTTCTTCAATCTATGCCAGAAATCTATTTAGTCTACTTTAGCATGCTGTGCAAATCAGGCCACCCATATGGGCATGTGGATTCACCTGCCTTTTTGCATTTACGCATTGTTCCCTGTTTGGCAACTAGCCAGCAATATGGCAATCTGCCTTTTCTGTAGAACAGGGAGCTCATCTGAGCTACAGAAAGCAAGAGGAGGCAAGAGACCAAAGCTATGATCCAGGTGCCTTTCCTTTTCATCACTTGTTCAGCTAGGCTGGACAAATTATCCAATGCACATTTCAAAAACATTTGGAAAACAGGATGCTATGGATGTCATCTGTATGAGCTGAGAGTTCTTATAAGGGCAGTGTGTGTGTGTGTGTGTGTGTGTGTGTGTGTGTGTGTGTGTGTGTGAAACTCCCATCACACCTGCATTGGCTCCAAGTAATTTTCATCTTCAGCAGTGACCACTTCTGGTTGGACTTTAACTCCTTTCATCCACAGATAACAGTGCCAAACAGCATGATGATGGTCGTTTCGGACCAATCATATCTGACAACTCAAAAATGAAAATTGTTTCCCTGTTTCTTAACCTTTTCCCCCTCTAAACTATGAAGATCTAATCTAGGAATCTATGAAGATCTCTCAAGAGTCTTTCCCCTCTAATCCAGGGGTGTCAAACTGCTGGATGCATCATAGCAAAACCGCACCCAGCCCATTGCCGGCAATGGCAAAAAAAAGTCGCGGCACGTCACGTGACATTGTGAGTTTGACACCCCTGCTCTAATCAATTAAGATCTATGAAGAAATGTCCTGACAGAACAATTAATCAGTGGAATAATCTGCCTCCAGAAGCGGTGAATGCTCCAACACTGGAAGTTTTTAAGAAGAGACTGGTCAGCCATTTGTCTGAAATGGTATAGGGTTTCCTGCCTGAGAAGGGGGTTGGATTAGATGACCTCCAAGGTCCCTTCCAACTCTATTATTATTATTATGGATCATCGCACAGTCAGCCAGATGTTCAGACTGGATTTGGCATTTTGTCTACCTATTGAGTCCTTACCCAGGACCTGGGATAGGCAGATGTGGATGTTTGATGGTATTACAGGTTTTATTATTATTATTATTATTATTATTATTATTATTATTATTATTATTATTATTATTATTATCATCGCATAGTCAGCCAGATGTTCAGACTGGATTTGGCATTTTGTCTACCTATCGAGTCCTTACCCAGGACCTGGGATAGGCAGATGTGGATGTTTGATGGTATTACAGATATTGTCACAGAATGGAAGCAGTTCCTAATAAGGCCGCCTTTTGCAATTGACTAATAGCAAATTTATCAATGCCAATATTATTATTATTATTTCAACAAGATGTTTTAGGGCTACATGAGAAGAGAACATTTGGTGTCTAGCATGCTAATTATTTATAAGCATATGTGGCCATTAAAGGTTACGAATCTGAAACAGGAAATTGCAAGATGAACTAGACTTTGCTCCTGCACCTTCCTGAACATTGACCTCACACACAAAGCCTGGCCACTGATTGCATCTCTCTATCTGAATGAGCCCATTGCTACAAATCCTTTCACAGCTTATAGAAATTTTCTGATTTCATCCTCCTCCTTTTCTGCCCTATCAATGCTTTCTATTCAAGATCCAAACTGTTCAATTGTTCCATAATATTCTATTTATATATTTCCCACCAAGAGTCTGAGACGGTGTCTGTCCTATCCGATTTTGCCTCACAACCACCACTCCCACTAGATTGGCATGAGTCCCAATGATTGATTGAAGTTATTCAGTAAGTTTTCCTGGCTGAAGGAGAATTTTAACTTGGTTTTCCCCAGGCTCAATTGCTACCTTAAGTACAATGCTAACACCATTCTAATGATTTAGAAATTATCCATCAACTTGCGGAAAGAACCCACAAACAAATATAGCAATCTACTCATGTTAATATGAATCCAGATGATAGATTTATCAGAATTACTCTTGGTTTTTAGAAGAAAGACTGTATTCAGTTTAATGCATGGAGAATTGGCTTTCTTTTCAGGCATCTTTATATTGCTGAATGAAACAAGGTTAAGGAAGAGTCAAGTTTCTTCCCTGTGGTGCTTGGTCTAAGGGAGAAAGGGGGTGCTATTTTAGCCCTTAAATCCCATCTCACAAAAAACAAGCAATGCCACTGCTTCGGCTGGTGCAACCAGCCACTGTCTTTGCAATCCTTTGAGGTTGAATTTAAAATAAAAAAAACTATGGACCCTAATTGCAAGAACATTTTCCACTTCTGCAGTTAATGTTGCTTGCAGTGTTGAAAGTATAGGTAGCCCTTACCTTACTCATTGGGGTGTGATTCTCTTAACAACCAGCTTGCTTCGCAACATAAATTGTGGTCATGTGTGGAGGACGACTTGTACCTATTACCGCAGGGGTGTCAAACAGCCAGCCCGCGGGCCGGTTTCATCATACTGAAGCTGCGCCCACCCCGTTGCCGGCAATGCAAAAAGAGTCATGATACGTCGCGACACGTCACGTGACGTGGTGAGTTTGACACCCATGACATAGGTGCTATCGCCCATTCAGCTGTAAGAAAGGGAAATTGTCTCTCAAATAAAACCCTTTAGAACAGAAAGAAAATGTTCAAGTGTCTGTGGGTTCTGTTTTCTGCAATACTGGTTTGAAGCAGGAGAGCTGTGGGGGCTTTTTTTTTGGAGTATGAGTGCTCTGTTATGCACTATCTTCTAATGAATTTTGAAAAAAAAAATTAAGCTGTGGTTTTATTGAAAAGAAGAAAGAGACCAAATAAGTCTAAGGTTTTGTTTTTGCTGTGTATGGGACAATAGAATGAGAGAAGTCTTTACTCTGCTGGGATTCATAGATATTCATACACGTTGGGATTTGATATAATAAAAATAATAATAATAAAGTTGGAAGGGACCTTGGAGGTCATCTAGTCCAACCCCCTGCTCAGGTAGAAAACCCTATACCAGTGGTTCTCAACCTGTGGGTCGGGACCCCACTTGGGGTCGAACGACCATTTCACGGGGGTCGCCAAACAACGCAGTCCACCATTTTTTCCCTTTTTCCTTAGCTGTGCTACTCCCTTTTATTCTATTGGCTTTTGAAAGCCAATAGGAATTGTCCAGGCTGTCTCTGCCCTGCTGAGCCCGCCAAAAGTCCCATTCTGCAAACGGTGCTGCACCAGTTGAGTAGTCCTTGATTTACGACCGGTTGAGTAGTCCTTGACTTATGACCAGTTGGGGGTCGTGGCATTAAAAAGGTTGAGAACCACTGCCCTATACCATTTCGGACAAATGGCTGTCCAGTCTCTTCTTAAAATCTTCCAATGTTGGAGCATTCACCACTTCTGGAGGCAGGTTATTCCACTGGTTAATTGTTCTAGCTGTCAGGAAGTTTCTCCTTAGTTCAGTGGTTCTCAACCTTTCTAATGCCGTGACCCCATAATACAGTTCCCCATGTTGTGGTGACCCCCAACCACTTATACATCACCGAGTACCAGGGGCGTGGCCAAGGAAAAGGGGGGGAAAATGGCGGACAGCCTTGTTTGGCGACCCCCGTGAAATGGTCGTTCGACCCCAAATGGGGTCCCGACCCACAGGTTGAGAACCACTGCCTTAGTTCTAGGTTGCTTCTCTCCTTGATTAGTTTCCATCCGTTGCTTCTTGTCCTGCCTTCAGGCGCTTTGGAAGGCAGGACAAGAATTGCTACATCATTTACTCTGTTTTGTAAACTTAAGTGAATGTGTCAATCTTTATTTGCCTGAAACTACCAGCTACCAGTTTGTTGATAAGATTTCGTATTCGCTCTTAAGCTGAAACATTTTCACTGATCAAATATCCCCCTTTCCAATGTTCTATTCATCCATTTACAGACCGAAAGCCAACTCTGGCACGCTGCTGAGGCTTTGTAATCAAGTTAGCTTTTTCTGTGTAACGAAAGAATTCAACCAGCTAATGCATTATCAGGAAGGATTATTTTAGGCATATGGGTTGCCCTGTGAGATTTACAAAAAAACCTGCCCAAGCTGGCGCCCTTCAAATATATTAGCACTGAAGCTGTTATAAAGGAATTAATTAATTCTGCAGATGGAGTGGCAGGTTTTCAAGCCTAACTTTAAACAGAAGCTTCTTCAGGATGCTGCAATGAAGAAAAAAAAATATATCTGAGAAACGAGGAATAATTTAGAGCTCCATATTGAGGAAAAAGAAGATTTATGGAACAATATATATTTGGAGGAATAAAGGGCTTGGATATGAATTCAAAATTCTTCTATACCACAAAATCAGAGTTAAAAGAGCTTTTGCAATTCATTTGTTTCCTGTAGTGTAAGGTGCCTTCTCCTTGAGGGGCTGTCACAGAGAAGAGGCGTCTGACATTTTCCAAAGCACCTGAGGGCAGGACAAGAAGTAATGGGTGGAAGCTTGTTAAAGAGATATCCAACATAGAAGTAAGCAGAAACTTTCTGACAGTGA